TCCCGGGGCGGGGGGGCCGGCCGGCGCGTGGCTGTCGCCGGGTCCGCATCCGCGAGGGCGGCTCCCAGGGGAGCGCGGGGCGGGCTGGCTGTATGCCGAGGACCTGCGGCAGGGGGGAGAGTGCAGCGAGAAGGGGGCTGGGAGCTGTGGGTTATCTGGACTCGGCTGGGCTCTCGTGCCTGTACCCCGTACCTGCTCCGGACCCAGCACGTGGCCGGGCTGGTGCTGCACTATGCCCCCCTGTGCCGCTTGGGGCCACATAGGTGCAGCCGGTCCGGCTCCTGTGCCCACGGGCCATGTGCTGGCCACTCGGGGTTGGGTAGGAGCTGTGCCCGCTGCTCTAGCTGTGCCCATGCTATGCAGCCTGAAGTGGTGTGCGGGAACACGGTGCGGCACCATGTTAGCAGCGCCCACACCCCTGCCAGACCCTGGCCTGGCAGAACCCAGATCACTTGCTGGGCTCCTGCCCTTGCTCCTGACCCTATTCCCCCTGCACCCACTCTACAACCAGTGGGTTGGCCAGAAGCTTGGCTAGGAGCTCAGCACCCCCTGCTTTGGAGCATGGGCTGGGCACTGGGGGACAGGACAAGGCAGGCCCACCATGGAGAGGAGTTGCTGCTGCAGGCAGCTGGCATGAGGAAGGTAGAAGGACGAGAGGCACCGAAAGCCAGGGCAGCCGTGGGCCAGGTACAACTCGCCTTCAGAAGAGCAGCCATGAGCTGGGTAAAATCATTTGGTGGGCCAGATCTAGCCCATGGACTTCGTTTTGCCCACCCCTGCTCTAGATGCTTATCACTCACTGAGGATAAATAAGGTAGTTTGGACCTTTTAGAGCTCTTGTTGCAGGTCCTCTAAAGCAGGGCTGTGCAAAATACAGCAAATATTTTTTGTAATAAAATTAAACTTTGTTATAGTAGGTGTTTGACTTTTAGTATGAGATTTGTTTATTTCTGGTTCCAAAAGGAGTACTTCTGGGGGCAAAGGGAGGGTGCTTCCCAGGGTAAAGCTCAGGGATGCAGGGGAGGGGGTTTGGGGACTTCCCGTCCCAAGATGGCAACCAGGGTGTGGGATACCTGTCAAGGGGCTGGGCTACCCTTGCAGCCCTCCACAGCTCACCAAAACTCAGTAAGCGGCCCTCCACTGGCAATAATTGCCTGCCCCTGCTCTAAAGACTGATATAGAGGTCTCTGCTTTGGTTCATGTTTTAATCATTGAAAAAAATAGGGACTTGGTTTTAATTTTAAAAAATAGCAACTGAGGTTCAGGAGAAATGACTAGTAACTTGAGAGTGGGGCAGTCTGACACAATTGGTTCCTGAAAACAGCGTCTTAAGTTGAAACGTTGCAACTCGGAACCGATTTTTCCCATAGGAAACAATGTTATAAATGGGGGATTGGTTCCTGAACCAAGGCCTGATACCCTGTTTTCACCAAAAATAACCCAGAATTTTGTACTCAATCAGTTATACCTATATTACTCATCTACATTAATGTATTTATATTGTAAATAGCAATCATATTGATTTGGAAGGACTTCTTTGAGGTGACTTTGCTGGACTATTTGAAGGGCTCTTGGTTGGACTTTCTGAAGCGTTCTTGGCTGCAGGTTTTACTGGAGTCTTCTCTGCTTTCTTAAAGTGTCCAAGGAAGTTTGGACGGATGTTCTCCAGGGAGATGGGTGACACAGCAACTTGGCTAGGAAGCTTGGCTAGGAGGCTGGGGGTTTGCTGTCATGGCATCATATCAGATCAAGTGTCATAAAGTCAAAACTGACATTGGAAAGTTGAAACGGTGTCAATTTAGAAACATAACTCGAAACTTTGCAAGTTGAGGACTACCTGTACTACCATATTTTAGTCCAGTCTGTATCCTGGCAAATACATGCACAAAATTTTACAATGCAGTCTGACGGAGAACACCCCACATCCTCTAGCAAAGCAGGGAAAACAAAGTATGAGTGAAAAGCTGAGGTGGATCTACTTGTTTTAATATCATGGAGACCTCAAAGGGAAGAAACAGGCATTGGCTTTCACAGGACTAAAGTATTCTACCAACTTCAAATTTAAATAACTTTTAGTTATAGAAAGACAATGTTAAGCATGGGTAGAACAGAGGCAAAGTTAGACCTCAAAAGAGTGAACTATTAATTACCGCTAAACTTATTTCCCTGCTCCATTTGGGTTGTACCTGTTGTGCTGCTGAAAGTGTTGTTTTGGCATCTGATGTAAAAATATTTAACTACTTGTGTCTTAAGCGACATTGTATAGCATCTTAAATATAAAAGCAGCAGGTGGTAGATTTTGTCTTGGGTTTATTCTACTCTGGTAATTACATTCTACAAAACTACATTGCCACTGCAGTTACATGTGCTGTGTTTTTCACTTCCAGTACCCACTCAATGGCCTTGTTTAAAAAAAAAAAAAACCAACCCTCAAGATGGTGAATGAGAGTATACCCATTTTACAAAATAAAACCCCTGTCGATCCCATACTGAACTGTATAATGTAGGGGTTTTGTTCCATTATCAGTTTGGTTCTCTTTATAACATAGCATCACTTTTGCTAAAATAAAAAAATGTGGCTTAAATCATGTTGTAGAAAGATATTATTTGTATTGGAACCAGAGTAATTAGATGCAAGAACATGAGACCGTCACCAAGGAGAAGAAAAGAACAAATGGCTTAAAAAACAAACTAAATGGGTATAGATTAACCACAAATAACTTTAGGCTGGAAATTCATAGAATATTCCTAGCTGCTAAAGCAGTGAGGTTTTTTTGGAAGGACTTTCCAACAGGAATAGTGAGGACAAGAAACCCAGGTAGTTGTACGATAGAGCTTAAACCATTTATGAAAAATATTATATGACTTAGCTGCCAGTGATGGATGCAGGGACTGAACTTGAAGCCCCAGCAGGTCCCCTCTAGGCCTATGTAATTTCACTTCTTTTGCTTAAGTATTCTAATTCTGCAAATTGGTTATGACTCTTGCCTTCTTAAATAGATGGATGAATACCTGTGGTTGCCTGGATTTACTGTCTGTTTTTCATGTATACGTTACACAGGTTAAAAAGTTTTTGTTCATATCAACACATGTATTCTACCAATTGCCCATACAGTTTCTTCGTTGCAGTTCACAATTGTCCATGTTTGTGAAAATAATATACTACTTTGCACAGTCTGTAGCTTCCTTGAATTTTACTGGCTATGCTATCAGAAAAGCACTGATTCTCTGGCTTAGTCTTTCTTTAGAAAGACTGTCTTATCGAATACAAAAACAAAAAGTCATGTAGTCATGATGAAGTCTGCCTCATAATAAATGCAGTTTGTGTTGCTACAAACACATAGGCCTTTGAGCAGGAAGTAAGAGGATGTCCATTTTCATTATGGGGTTAACAGCCTTTTCTTTATGGGTCAATACCAGTTGTATTATTCTAGAAATAAAACCCTTAATCTTTGTTAGTGAATGAACAGTTCAGAGAAATGCTATTATTGTGGAGATACTACAGTACAAAGTATATGTTGTTTTTTATACCACTAAGCCAGGCTACAAGCAGGGAATAAAAGGCTTTATACTGAGATGCAATATTTGTGACAACTTTCATCAGCCAAATTCTCTGTTAAAATTCTAATCAGTTCCCATATCATAGGAAGGATGTTATCACCCTGGAAGTACAAGTAAACAAAGATTCTGACAGGTCTGAGAAATGGTCAAATTCTGTTCTTGAGTTCACACAGCTTCTGTTTCCACTTAAGTCAGTGGGAATGTTGACCAGATCTTATTTTGGCCCTAAATTATGAGCAGATATTGGAGGAGTTACCTATGTTCATAGAAAGAAAGGATGCTTCAAAAGCTCTTAATATAAAATGTATGAATATTACCTACAGGTTGCTCTGGTTCTGTCAATTTCTATAAGATTAACTGTGTTAATGGATCAGTATTTGACTGAAATCTTCAAAGAAAAACATAGCTTATGTAGCAGCTGGTATTGATTCAGGTCAGATTCTGTAGTGTAGGGGTGTCAAACCCATGGCTTGTGAGAGGGATCTGACAAGCAACCAGAAATTGAGGGGCTTGGCCAGGGGAGAGGGCCTGCCACAGAATCCAAAGCCTTTGGGTCCTGGTGGACATGGCAGTCAGTGGCAGAAGGGTGAATGAGAGCAGATACAGTGTCAGTCACCTGCTGACTGCTTTGCCCATTGCCACCACTGCAGCCCTCTCCTCAGCCACCAGGCTTCACCATTGTGCCATGCTGGAGCCATCACTGAATGTCCTGTGCAGGAGCCAGAGCCTCCCCTACAGCACAGGAAACGGGCTCATGGCTGCAACTCCAGCTGCTGCTGTATGCCCCAGGCAGAGCTGGTCTGGCCAATTTGTATTGGAACCTGCTTCATACTCCAAGCCATACTGGCCCAGGGCACAAAGTGAGTTTGAAATCTCTGTCCTTGTACAGTATCAACCACATATGCAGGCATAGTGGTAGGGAGTACCATAGGCAAGATAGAAGCCATCCTTCAGATGGTCTGCAGCAGGGGTGTCAAAGATGAGGCCTGCCACAGAGCCATGTTACCCAGCCTGCAGTGCTGCCTGTGAGTTGCAAACCAGTGTGTCACAGGCAGCATACGCAGGCCCTAGCCCAATATACTACACACAGCAAGCAAGCTCATCTGGCAAAGGTTGCATGTGGCGCAGGGCCAGTCTGGGGCATCCAGCACCTGTGCTGGACCAACCCTTCATGCTGGATCCATGACTGGTCTGGATTAGGCCCACAGACTAGCTACTCATGCCAAATCCAGCATGCAGGGCCAGTCTGGCACCGGTGCCCTATACAACACACCCCCTGAATGAGCTGTGCACCATGTGGGGCTGGGGCCACCATGTGCTGAACATGGGGACAGTCTGGGGCACACTGCTTGTGGTGCACACACCAGACCAACCCTTCGTGCTGAATCTGGGGTCAGTCTAGGTCAGGCCTATGGACTAACCCCATGTGCTAGATCTGGTGTGAAGGGCTGGTCTGATGCAAGCTCCACATGCAGTGCTCACCTCAGACTGGTCCCATGTGCTGTGCGTAATGTGTGCCTTAAATCAGCCCCATCCACCATGACTAGTGCACTCCCTGGATCGGCCCCAGGTGTTGCATGCTGTACACAGGGCTGGGGCCAGTATGTGCTATATCCAGTGCAGGGTCTGGAGCCAGCATGAATATTGTAAGCAGCATGTGGGTTAGTTCAGGACATGTGCTACATGCAGCACCCATGCTGCATCAGCCCTGTAGGGGGCAGCATGGTCCCTATCCAACCTACCGACCAGCTCATTTTCCTCATCCCATCCATAGGGCCAGATGAGTTTTACATCCCTGGTCTGTAGAAATGTAGAGTACCACCTATTCTGGTTGAAAACAAGTCTCAGGGGTTTTCTGACTGATGCAAATCCTATCCTGAAATACTAATTATAGTCAAATTGAAAGTTACATTGTATCTAAATTCCCTTTGTACTTTTAATTTGATACTATATTTCCACCATTTGTCTTAAATTGTTGTTCAGTACTGCTTCGTTTAACTCTTGCCACCTTGCACTTCAAAGTTGGCAGCATTTCAGTAGTGGATGAAGCAGTCTGCATATATTGTTTATATTGGGGAAGGAGTTGTAAAATGGTATGGGATCCTTTAGGAGGAAATACCCTTTATAATTGTCCTGGTTTCCTTTCCTTAGATAAATAGGAGTCTTGGGCAAAAGTATGCTAGATTATCTCTAGTACCAGATAAGTTACTTTTTTTGCCTATGTGCATGACCATTTTGCTCTGGGTGGGCTTTGTGGAATGAAAGCTATTGAAAGAATGCAAAATATTTTTACTCAGCAAACCACAGCTCCAGTCTTAAAGAAACTTCTTATTACATAGTAAAGAAATGCTGGGGTAGGAGGGAAGCATCGTGAATGGCAAAGCCATTTTCCATGTATATATTTAGTGAATATGTATCTTTGACTATAGCTTCCTACAAATGTGATGTTAATTTTGAACAGTGAAACAGAATCACAGACTTGTGAACAGACAGAACAGAAAATAAAGGCTGTGGAACTCACTGCCACAATAGATAAGAATGCCTACATACCTAAATTCTCTTAGAATAATATAGAAATATAAATATGTTCTATTTGGTCTTCCCAAAACAAGTACTTGCTGAAAAAAAAAAATTACAAGCAATTTAAATAGGTTATAAAGAGAACTTTCTACGGTATTAAATTACTACAATAGCAGGCATGAAGAAGAATCTAAATGTGTCATTGGCTATAGAATTTTTACTAAATTGGGATAGCATGAGTCCTGATGTTTTTGAAGCACAATGTACAACCTTTTATTTGTGCAGTCTTGTTTCACAATGAAGAGATAAAACTGTCTTGGGAGCATTATGGGGCTACACTGAAAAGAAATTCCCTGTGAAAAAATGAAAACTATCATAATCAAGTGAAACAAGTATTGGATCAATGTCCTTAGATGATAAATTCTGCTTTTATTATCTTGTCTATTGCCTGAAGTGTCCACACGTATCAAGTTAAGGAGTACAATAAAGAAGCAGAGGCATATAGATTTGATTAACACAGTTGATGTCATAGTTGGAAAATGCAGGGGGGGCGTTTAATGCTGCTTGATGAGTTAGGCAATTTCCCAGTACTGGACATGTACAAACTGATTCCCATGCCCTATTTGGAACTCACTCAAAAGCAGGATCTCATTTGGAATTTAAACTACCAACAATGGGCCACATTATATAGAAGGGTCAAAGGATACAATGCTTCTTTTAACATTTTTTCCTTACAAAATGTCACTTTTTTTTCTTTTTAGAAACTGGGGAATTAGTGACAGAGTTGGTTAAGTATACCTGCCACATTCATCCAGACCCTGCCTACCTATGCACTTTGTTATTAAATAACTAGATTGTGTCTTTGTATGCCTGAAGCAGAAGTTCTCAAACCTTTGTCAGTTGCATCTCCACTTACAGACAATATCATGTGTGTAATATCAACATTACGTGCCAATTATGGAATTTTCTGTGTTTTAGCTGCTCTGCAGTAGCTGCCCCCAAGTCTGCAAATATCCCAATGGAAGATAAGTTGGGGCAATTTTCCCTTGAATGAAAAAGGCTAAGTTGCTCTGCTTTAGATTTCACTTACCATCGGATCCCATTTAGAGCATGAATAGGAATTATCCATTTAATAGTATGCAAAGATGAGAATTGTTCTGTTATCTGTTCTTTGTTACTTTGTAGTAAAAAAAGAACAAAAATTAAGAGCTGGTATTTTCCTAGGGGTGCCTTGAATCTAAGACAGTTGGGAACCACTATCCTAGAGAAACTAAGGCCTCATGCTCGACCTTGTACAAACACAACAGAAAGATTGTCCCCACTCTAAACAATTCACCTGTGTCATTTTGGCTCTTCTGCATCAGTTTCCTATCTTGGCTAAAAAAACCTGCATCTCCCTGTAGCGGGTATTGATTCACTACCAACTCAGGGGAAAGGGTGCCATCTGCTGAATTACCAGCAAAAAATCAATAGCAGTTCAGTGTTCCATGTGGTGTCCAACTCTGCTTCGTTTGTGAAATGGGATAATATAGCTTCAAGCAATGTGATCTCAGGCAAAATTAATAAACGCCACTAGTCTAAAATGAATACTAACCATCAAGCTCATGCCTCTGGGTTAGCTACAACTTTTGAATCCTATTACTTTTGCTTGCCAGATCTCAAATATAATATGAGTCTTGGAGGAGAAGGGTTTAAAAGAGGATAGCAAGATATGGGTTTTTGGGGTTTTTTTTAATTTTCTCACTTGTATTAGCAAGCTGCTGTACTCGGTTATATCCAGAAAAGCTTTATTTCTCATTTTTTGCACTTTGGTTTAGAATCTGATATTTTTCATCTTGTGCAATGCAAGAATGAACACTTATCTCACCTTTTCTGGTCTCTTTGATTCTTATGTAATACCTGCATGCCATTGTTTTTAATTAAATATTTCCATGCAGTATTAGAAATGTATTTTCATTGATTTAAAACTATTAATAATATTATAAATAAAAAGAATACAAGACAGGAGTGATAAGCCCCCAAAAGCCTATTAACTCTTTCCTGACTTATGTCTAGTTTGTGCACACTGTCACACTAGTGACTCAGAAACAAATATTTGACACAACTCAGCTGAACTTGTATCTCCTTAGAGATACTATGACAAAAGTCCAGGTGTATCTCATGCCAATCAATTTATTTTTTCTTTTAGGTAAGAGAGAGAATTTTCAGTTGGCATCATTGAAAGAAAACAGTCAGGGCCCTAAAATGAAGAACTCTGCATATGTTAAAAAAATAACAGGATCCCTTGACTAGAACCAACAGCAACAAACCCTTACGTAGCACTGTGTGTCACGATGCATTCTTTTTGTGGTTAATTTTTACAATGAAACCAAAATGAATGAGACTTAGAGCATCTACAACTTCCTCAAATATTACATGTTTTGGTAGGATCAAAGTTAAAAGAGGAGTTATAATAATTCAAGTCAAATGCCCAGATAACCTAGAACTATCTAAAGGAACACCTCTTACGTATGTATGGCGGGGGGTGGTATTCTAAGCATTGTCTGAAAAATGTCCTGTGTTTCTGCCTGAGATTACACTGGTATCCTTGATTCCCTGCGGGATGGAAAAAAGATGATGGAATTCTTGTTAACACCTATCAGTACCTGCATAAATTTAAATTACTTTTCTTAAACTTAATCTACAATATCTTGCATTGTACATACTGGTTTGTTTTGCTGTTGGGATGCAGTAAGAGGAAGAACAAATCACATCTGAATTCCTACTGGTGCTGTGATTTGCTTTTTCAATTGAAATGAATAGCATATATGGGTTTGATATTCGGCACATCCCTAATGAGGGAATTTTCTTCTACACATGTGGAGGGGAATGTGCTACCTACTGGGACTTTCCGGTTCCCCGTTGTAGAAGTCTTCAGTGGGGTTATTGGTTCTATTGCTTTGTGTCTAATGTTAACTTTTTTTCCCCCTCCCATTTATAAGGATGTCTGGAAGTCAGAATTCAGGCAGTGGAAGCCACGTCAGCAAGAGAAGTTCCAGCAATGCCAGCTCCATGGTGTACTTTGGACAGGTCAGTCACTCTCCACCTAGATTAGTCATCTTCCAGCCCACCTGTAATAATTTCATTTCCATTACATTTTCTCCCAGTGATAACAGAACTACATACTTCCTTAACAAAGCTAGTTTTATTTGGACTGTACAGATAAAGCTTTTGATTTTGATAATTAAAGAGCAAGAAGTATGCATCAGCCTCACTTATTTATATGAATTCTCTCTACAGTTCAGAGAAGACTGCTGCCTTCCCTCAACCATTAGAACAAACCAAATTGTATACAGATTAAGTTTATTATTCAAAATAAGTGATGAATTCTTTTCCCCATGCCATCTGTATGTAGTGAACAAATGAACAGGATACATAAGTGCCCTGTTCCCCCTTTTTCCTAATGTTACAGATTTATGCATTGGTGCCAGACAAAGAAATGGGCAAAGTTAAATGATACACTATATTGAAATATAAATTAGAATTAAAACCTATATTAAAGAGAGTTAAAGTTATTAAAGTTTCTAGTAAACAGTGTACAATTTAAAATGATTCCTTTAGCAGAAAGAATAAGTACAGCATACAGGTCCCTCAATCTCTCCAGTTTAAAATACCACACAAATTTTGTCTGGCTAAGGAATGGATAGGACTACTTTTGGAGAAGTCCATTTCTTTCCTTCATTAGGCAGAAGAGAGCCTCATCCAGGAGCTAAAATATCCCACACATTCCTGTATCAATAAAAATTAGGAACTCAGGTTTTCTGCTGTTAAACCTCTCGGGGTTCACAGATGTAGGTCTGCCTGCTTCTTTGCAGAGTGGACATAGAGCTTAAGTAACATTTTCGTCTCGGCAGTAAGCAGAAGTAATGCCTAACTGACTGTCTTATGTAAGGCAAAATGCCAGAATAATGCATGCAGTTCCTGGGGCAAAATTAATTCCTCCCTGAGCTTTTTCCCTACCAATTACATCCTGAAGTATGAGCATGGATTACTTACCTTCTCTTGGAAGACAGCAAAACAAAAATGGCATTATGTAGGAGTGAGGAAATATAATAAAGAAACTAAATTTATCACATTCTGCTATGTTTCTATTCAAGTACCAGTACACAGCAGATGAATACCAGGCCATCCAGAATGCTCTGCGTCAAAGACTTGGTCCAGAGTACATCAGCAGCAGGCAGGCTGGAGGTGGACAGAAGGTATGGATGAGTGTGTGTATGGAAACATTATTTAATTTTTAGTGGGGGAGAAATTCTCCACTATGAAAAGCTTATAAAAGTACTTCGGGACAAAAAGTGTTTGGTCCTCCATAGTCATTGCATTTAGAGAAATAAGTGCAGGGATATGATATTGTAAATTCCAGCTTTAGCTCAGTCATAGTTTCATAGTTGCTAGGGTTGGAAGGGACCTGAGCAGATCATCAAGTCCACCCCCCTGCCATGGCAGGAAAGAATGCTGGGGTCAAACGACCCTGGCAATGTGTCTGTCTAGCCTCCTTTTAAAGACCCCCAAGGTAGGAGCCAGCACCACTTCCCTTGGAAGTTGGTTCCAGATCCTAGCTGTCCTGACTGTGAAGTAGCGCCTCCTGATGTCTAGCTTGAATCTACTCTCCGTCAATTTATGGCCGTTATTCCTTGTTACTCCCAGTAGTGCTCAGGGGAACAGGGACTCTCCCATTGCCTGCTGGTCTCCCTTGGCCAGCTTATAGACGGCCACCAGATCCCCCCTCAGCCTTTTCTTGTGGAGGCTAAACAGGTTTAGGTCTCGTAGCCTTTTCTCGTAGGGCCTGCCCTGCTGCCCCTGATCATGCAAGTGGCCCTCCTCTGGACCCTCTCTATGTTGTCCACATCCCTCCTGAAGTGTGGCGCCCAGAACTGGACACAGTACTCCAACTATGGCCTGACCAATGTCATATAGAGGGGAAGGATCACCTCCTTGGACCTGCTCGTGATGCATTTGTGGATGCATGACAAGGTGCAGTTAGCCTTCCTGACTGCATCCCCATATTGGCAGTCCATGTTCATCTTGGAGTCTATAATGACTCCAAGATCCTTTTCTGCCTCTGTGCTGACGAGAAGGGAGTTCCCCAGCCTGTAGGTATGCTGCTGGTTCTTCCTCCCCAGGTGCAGTACCCTACACTTGTCAGTATTGAATCCCATCTTATTCTCATCCGCCCACCCCTGTAACCTGTCCAGATCCAATTGCAGCCTGTCCCTCCTCCTCCACTTCTCCCCACATCTTAGCGTCATCTGCAAATTTGAACAGGGTGCTTTCCACCCCCTCGTCCAAGTCGCTGATGAAGATGTTGAACAGTGCAGGCCTGAGGACCGAGCCCTGGGGGACCCCACTGCCCACATCCCTCCAGGTCGAAAATGACCCGTCCACCACCACTCTCTGGGTACAGCCCTCCAAGCCAATTGGTGACCCATCTGACTGTGTAGGCATCAACACCACAATCTCCAAATTTTTTAACAAGAATGGGGTGAGAGACAGTGTTGAAGGCCTTCCTAAAATCCAGAAAGGCTACGTCCACAGCAACACCTGTGTCCAAGGATTTTGTGACCTGGTCATAGAAGGCCACCAGGTTGGTCTGACAGGACCTGCCTCTAATGAACCCATGTTGGTTGCCCCTAAGTATACACTCCCCTGCTTGCCTCTCGCAGATGTGCACCTGGATAATTTTCTCAAAGAGCTTCCCCAGGACTGAGGTAAAACTAACAGGCCTATAATTTCCTGGGTCTTTCTTCCTCCCTTTTTTGAAAATGGGGCCCACATTGGCCCTTTTCCAGTCCTCTGGCACCTCAGTCACTTAGTCCTTGACATTTTGGACAGATCCCTTATTTGGTGTCTCAGTCTCCTTATTCTTAAATGGGAGAGTTATCAGTTACGTTATTGTTCAATACATAGAATACACAAGGCTTCACAACACACAAATGCTAGATGCTGTTTATTTTTTCCCTTTGAGTCTATTAAATCTATTGTAGTTGTGTCAGTAGCAGATTTGTTCTGTTCCCTTTTCATTCAAGGAATCAGAATCTTACCTGAAATCAGGAGAGCATCTCCATGCAGGGCAGCTGTGACCTTTACATTAATTTCTGAATTCATTCTTCTTTTAGGTTTGTTACATCGAGGGTCACAGGGTCGTCAGTCTGGCCAATGAGATGTTTGGCTTCAATGGCTGGGCTCATTCAGTCACTCAGCAGAATGTCGGTAAATATCTTCTCCTGAGGTTAGAGAATTTGCATTCCCACTGTTTCATACTGAAGGTGTGAAGTGATAGACTGTGGTTCATCCTTCTGAAATCTGACTACTTGAAACTGTGGGAGGCATACTTTTAATATGACTCTCTCTGTAAAAGCAGCAGATGGAGTTTTCCGGTTCCTTGACAGTTGGGAAGAGATAGCAAAATGGGGCAATGGTGGAATGTCTGTGTTTTAGCACCTGTCTTGGTATAAAGAAAACCTAAGTTTATACTTGCAGGCCCAGATTTGAGTAATCCTATTCCTAAATTATCCATCTGTGTGCTGATGACTAGGCCCAAAGGAGTTGCAACTGGATTTTTGCCTGTTCAACCACGAGTAGACCTCAGCAACATTCATGTCTGCCTACAGCTACTCCCCTAAAAGACAGACATACCAGCTTTTGCCCCTTCCATCTGTTCAGCAATGAAGTCTTTCTAACAAGCACTTTGGTTTCACAAACATCCTGTCCTAAGAGTCTTTGGCTACTTTTATGTATCCCCACACTCAGGTGCACAAGCTCAAAACATTTTGCATAGCTACGTGTTTGTGCTAGACATACTGCCTCTTCATTGCCAGGCATCAAGTAGGAGAGCACAGTACTGATTGCTCTAAGTTCTTTCCAGTCATTGTAAGCTCTCTGAGTTGGTATGCTGAAGCATCCCCCATACTTTCTTCACTTTGCTCTCCTTTGGTTGAATTAGGGTGGTCTTTTGTTTCAGTTAAGTTTTCACTGCTTTCTTAATATTTAGGAAGTACTTTTGCTTCTCTGTAGGGGCATGAATCTACTGGCCACAACCCGTTTATTCTGAGGCTGTGGCCAGCACTCTATTTCTTATTCAGGCCCAGTTATTTCTCCCCCTCTCTTAGCTTCTGTTGTAATTGTTGCAGGTAAAACGACGAGTTTCAGTTTATGTGCACCGTGCACTGTTACCAGGATGACCCTGAACAACGCTTTCAGGTGCCTGTCTGAAGGGCCACATCCAAATTGTGTGTGGTCTGTGCCTCAGTTTCACCCTTTAGGGTAGAGAAGAGAAGCAATCTCAGATTCTTTATGCTATTAAAAAACTATTGAGATCCATTCAACACATTCTACACTGAGACTCAGCTTGGTTCAAATTGAGCAGTTTTTAACACTGACATTGTATCTTCTTAAGTCTGGTGCAAGAATTATGTTCAGGAGCTCCTAAACCAGGTGTCTTAGTGCAATTGTGCTGACTCCCTCACTAACAAGGTCTGTTCAGGAAGCCCAGAGTTGTGTCCCTGTGTTTCAAAGATCTGAGAAGCATGCTGCCAGATCGCTCTCAGACTAGTAGAGCTTTTACACCTAAGGAGGTTAACACAATGCCAGGTAAGTCCATCTTAGCTGGAATTGGCAAGATATAGAAATGGAGCAGAAGCCTGTGGTGCAGGTAATGCCTCAGCTCTTCTACTTTCTTTCTCTGCAGGGAACTGTAGTGTTGAAACAGACTGATACAAACATTTCTTAAACTTAATAGGTCCCAGCAAGAGACAAGGGGAAGGACAGTTATTTACCCTAACAATGGCTATGTGAACAGTCACTCAAAGATGCACTCCAAATTCTATTGTGGACCCCAAACCCAGGAAATTGGATTTTTTTTTTTTGGCCAAAGTCTATCAAGGCTGAACTTGCATCTTTGGTTTTCCCATGATATCCACCCAAACACAAAGGGTAGGGTGGGCCCTTCACTAATACAGAATCACATGGGGTTAAAACTCTGAAGTAGCAGGAAAGAAAAGTAGATCAAGGAATCTGTGTGAAAATAAATATTGAAGAACCATTGTTCTTCTAGGGTAAATAATTATTCATTGTTCAAGTAATTGTCCAAATAGATTCTACTTTCGGAGAATATGTCTACACAGTATGTCACCCCTGAAGAAGAGGCAAATACACTCCGCAATGCCAAGCAGACAGCTCTCAGCTCTAAAACAGGGGTGCCCCTCATACTTTGTACATTTTGCAAATGTGTTGCCCCTCACACTTTTATGAATAAGTTCCCTCTTACTGGTTTTTAATTTCTTGCTTCCCACAAAGCTGAATGTGTCAGAAGTTTCACCCCATGTCATGTTGTTTGGATAACTGTATTAACAGTATCTCCTTTTCAATCTTCCAGATTTTGTTGACCTGAACAATGGCAGATTCTATGTGGGGGTCTGTGCATTTGTTAAAGTTCAACTTAAGGCAAGTTGATGAATTTTTATTTGCTGCATCTATTGCTGATCTTATAGTTGCCTAGAGCCATGATTGACAGTATAGTCATAAGGATGAAACTAGATTGTAATACACTAAGTTACTGGGGGTCCCTGGAAAGCTACGCCTACTATAAAATACCAATCCACTCTACTCTGAATTCACATGGGATGTCAAGACTTATAATCAATTGTACATGAAAGCAAAAACTGGCACACAGAGACATAAGTTTGTAGGACTACAAGTGAGCCTATTCAGTATTTTTAATTCATGCCATAGGATGGGTCATACCACGAAGATGTGGGATATGGAGTGAGTGAGGGCCTGAAGTCTAAGGCCTTGTCTCTAGAGAAGGCAAGAAAGGAAGCAGTGACAGATGGACTGAAGAGGGCACTCAGGTAAGTGGGTATCAGTGTGCACTGCTATAACTTGCACACATTGGAGGTGATGTAAGAATAAGATGATAAATTCTTAGTCGTGGTGCGCTCTCTTATCCCATAGGTGCTTTGGAAATGTGCTTGGGAACTGCATCCTGGACAAAGACTACCTGCAAGCAGTGAATAAACTTCCTCGTCAGGTGCGGTAGGTGGAATTTTGGAGAAGAGAAAAGCGGAATAATTGAGGTTGTAAGGAGCCTCTAGTTGGTCTTTGGTCCAGTGACGTTAGTGAAAGGAATTGAAACAATTATGCTTAAACTATCCTTGATGGCTGATTGTGTGGTTTCAGCTCTGTCTCCAGTGATGATTCCACAGCCTACCTAGGCTGCTTATTAGATAATCTGAATTGTGCTCTATATGTAGCTGCTGGATTGAGGACCAAGTCTGGGAGGGCAACACTCCTTTCTCTGACCAAAGTAGTTGACACACATTCTTACTATCCTAAGACGCGTTGTTTGCCAGTCACCTGCTTTGGGATCCCACACTAATGCATATTCAAAGAAAAGAAAAATTGCTCACTGCATGATAACAATGATAATGTGGTCAGCATGGATCCAACAACCCACCCACAGTCTCATTTTCACAGTCCTCACCTACCATAGGCTTCAAATTGAGAGGGAACTGAAACACAATCATAGCAAATCCACCCCTTATAACCTAAGTGCATGAGGAGAAGCAGGGTGTACATGCAACCCTGATGGACACTGCTATTCAAAAGATCCTAATCTTGTAGTCAGTGTAGATACCATCCTAGGTACACATGTATTCACCATCTCAGACCACTGTGGTTACTGTAGTGTGCACAATATTTTCTCCTTTTCAAAGCATTCAAAAGCTCTACTTGAGGGTTGTCAAACATATGGCCTACAGGCTGGATCCAGTTTGCAAAGTCACTCTAGCTGGCCAACAGGCTACCAGTGGGTCACTTGAAGCTTGGGCAGTGTGGTCTGCTGCAGAATTCAGGGCCTTTTGGCCCCACTGGCCACAGCCATCAGCAGTGAGCTTGGTTCAATGTCACCACCAACTCCGTACCACTCACTGCTGCTGCTACAATGGCCACTGCAGCTGCCCTGGGCTGGATCCAGTCTGCAGGACCCTTGCAACCCAGATCTGGTCCAGGGTCCCAGAAAAGTTTGATACCCCTGCTCTAGTTGTATCATTTGGCATATTGTGTTGCCATATATAAACGTACAATATACAGAGCACTGAAAATAGAGGTGCTTGGTAGAATTGGATTTAATGTCAACACAGCTTTGCAGTTGACCACACTGATTGTAGTATTCATTTTCATTATAGTAAAAATCTTCCAGATTCTTTATGCTTGGTGATACCATGGAATTTGTAGTCTGCTACAGAAATCTGAGGGGATTACTAGAAACTCACATATGGAAATAGAGACCTGGGTTTTCTTTCCCTTAAAATAGGAAACAGAATAAAGCAGCCATAAGAACCGTAAGGTGCCATATTGGAATTGTGAGAGTGGGCTTGGAATTGTTAATTTATATGGATTTACTCAGCACTACATTGCAACTGAAATACAGTATTGAAGCTTCCTAGAGAATTAAATGTAGAAACTGCAAATCCCCAAATTTGTGCATGTCCAGCTTGTTTTAAGATTGACTGGTTCTGATGGTCCTTTGGCCTTTGCTGGTTTGGTCAGAGGCAGCTAGAGTAACAGGTCACTTCAATGGTTAAAACTAAAAACATGTCATGATGAAATTAGGAGGAGGAACAGAAGCCAAAGGTACAGACTTACAAATCTTGTTTCCAGGCCCTTTTGTTCCAGAGGTCAAGTGCTGCCTAGTGCTTCATCAGAACAGGACCTGGCTCTCTTTTGATGAATACCCTTTGGTATGCAGTCTTCTCTCTTCTCCAGCAAGTGCTAAACAGGCCTAGCTCTCAGCCTGATGTCTGATGTCTTTTGGGCACTCTCTAGTTTCTCTCTTATAATGTAGTAATCCGGGTAGGACTGGAGGACTTGAGCTAGCCTGGGTCAGGTAGTGAAAAACAATAGTTACCTTTTTTAATATATGGTACCCTTGTTAATACAATCCAATATCACAGTTCTCTTCTTGCGACTCTCTTACCTACTGTAACCCAAAATGCTCATATTCCCACCTATCCAGTAGTGTATCACGTGTGAATGTAAGGTATCCATCACCAGGTCTAGTGATGGGTGTGGGCTGGAGTGTGTCTGGTGAATGGGAATCATTTACATTTACTTCTAATTAATCTAATTTTATTGAATCTGGTTTAATGGTGAGATTTGTTTTTTGCTGAAAAAGTTTGGGGATAAATTATTTTGGGGCTTTTCAGTGAAAGGAGGCTGTTTGACCTGGTTAACTGCCGTTCATTTAGTTATGGGAAATGTCCAATGCTAGTATCAATTGCACATTGCCATCCTCTCTTAGACGTATGCCCTTTGAGAACAGTTAGAGAGGTACTGACAGAGAAGAAAAACAAGAAATACTTCTACAAGATGCTATACCTTGAAGCCTTGCTATTGTACTAACACTTGTTAGTTTGTGCTGAAGTATCCTGTACCCACACCAGAACTGTTCTTATAGAAATTGATTTGACACCATAGGTTGTAGGAAATAATCCTCCTTGGAACAGAAATAAATCCACTTTTGCACTAAGTGAGTTTTCATTAAGGTTCATGTGAACCAGTTTCTATATACTGTGCTGGTGGCAGTCCTCCAGCTAGTATTCCACGCTGAACTGTTTCACACCAGATTTGAC